AGTCCCAGCGTTCCAGAGGCAGAGGCAGGTGGATCTCGGAGTTCAAGGCCAGTCTGGTCTGAGTTCCAGGACAGCCAGGACTATGTAAAGAAACCCTGTCTCAAAAAACGAAACAAAACAAAGTTTTTCTTTTTAATATATAGTTTTTTTTAGAACCTACATAATTTTTTTTAATTTTATTTTAGAGAAATGGCTACCACTTTTGCTCGACTGTGTCAACAAGTTGATGTTACTCAAAAACATCTGGAAGAAGAAATTGCTAGATTATCCAAAGAAATAGATCAACTGGAGAAAATACAAAACAACTCGAAGCTGTTAAGGTAAACTTTTCCCTCTCAGTAACATGAACATGTAATTTCATCTCACATCTAAGATTATTATGTGAAGTCAGTAATGACTTTGCATTAGAACTTTTAAATTAACTATCTTCATTGCTTTAAATTCAGAGTGTCCATGTTCGGGGCTGGAGAGATGGCTCAGCAAGAGTATTTGCTATTTTGCAGAGGCCCCTACTGGGGTTTGGTTCCCAGCACCTACATGGACTTCATAAAGCTAAAAAGTCTGTACAGCAGTGGCCACCCAGCAGCCACCTGTAACTCTAGTTCCAAGAGCTCTGACGCCACCTTCTGGCTTCTCTCAGCACCAGGCGTGCCAAGTGGTGCATATCCATCCATGTAGGCACGACACTCATAAGATAAAAATAAATGGTTTTAAGAAGACAAGGACTGTCCCTGTTTAATTCCTTATGCCAGTTGCAGCAGGAGAGGCCTTCAAAATTAGAAGGAATTTTGTAGGACTTTTACTCTCTCTTAGGCTGGGATGATTCTTTTCTAGAACAGAAGTTCAGTAATCTAAAATGACAGTTGGGCATTGTGTCACACATCTTGTGTGCCCAGCACTTAGGAGACAGGAGCTGGTTCAAAGTAGTCCTCAGGTACATGGCAAGTTCAAGGTCAGCCTGGGCCACATGAGACCTTACTAAAAAAAACCCAACAAACAACAACAAACTCAAACCAAATGAACAAAAATCCCCACCCACCACAGAGGCCCTGTTCTTTCTGAGGAAGGAGGACACTTGCGTTGGAAGCAGTGAACTACAGGTGTCCTGATAAATTGGGCTTGTGCTTTGTTCTGATTTATTATGGATCCTTTGGGGCAGGAGTGGAAGTGTCACCATCAGGTCTGACTTGGCAGTTGTGTTCACTTCCTTAACCACGAGCCGCTTGCCAGCATGTCTTGGAGTAGCGTTAAGCACTGTCTGAGCAACACTGCTGAGTCAGGGCTCGCACTGCATGTAGCTCTACATCAGAGAGCAGCTTTATGGCCAGTGTTTGCAGATTGGAGGGCTGTCCTCGTGGCCTGAGTTCTGAGGGCATATGTAATTAGACAAATGAAGATGTGCTGTCAACACAGTGCTCATGTTCGTGGAAGAGCCTTTGCAGAGGTGCAGTGCAGCACAGTGCTCAGCTGTTTGTTTTCATGGAGTCCACTGTTAAGGTTACCTGTAGCTTCACATGCCAAGCCAGTTTCCAGCTTAGAAACATCAGGCTGCAGCACAGAGCCCAGGTGTAGACCAGGCTGTAAGCCCTGCATGTGTCTAAGTACACTCTATAATGTCCACAGTGCAATCAAGGGGTGATGTCTGATGCTCATTCTGGCCTAGCAAGACATGGCTGGTCTGAATCACAATTACCAACTCAGGCTCAGTCTGAAGAACTATATTCACCTGCGTATGCACATTTCACTTCTGTGACCTCAGTCACATGTTCAGAGACAACGAAACAACTCCCTTCTCTCCAAATAGAGTCCCTTCTTTGTGAGTACATGCCCTAGCATGGATTGAGAACATGCTGTGTAGACTGTGCCTGGCAGTTCAGTTAGGGCTTCCACTCAGAGGCAATTGATTACACCAACTATGGTTCTAATGTGCTCCTTGCCAGCTGCTTTGCATATACAGTGTAAGTCATTCCGTACTTTACACTTTACAGTTCTGACCCTGACTTAGGATGTGACTCCTGTTTAAGCTGTTAGGCTGTTTCAATATTGAAGTCCCCGACTTCTGTCTTCTTATTGCTCTAGACTCTGAGGTCATACTCATTGTGAGCATAGCAGGAGCACACACGGTAACAGTCATGTATGAGTTTCAGTTAAGGATGGCCACAGCTGCTTGGAGGGCTGTTTGTAAGTTTGGATAGAATGTACTCTTCTCATTGACTGTTAGAATAATTAGGTTGGTGTTTTATTCATTGTCTTTTAACTAGAAATAAAGCCGTTCAGCTTGAAAGTGAGCTGGAGAATTTTACGAAGCAGTTTCTACACTCAAGCAATGAAGAATCTTAACCACAGAGGCTGCTGTGATGATCGCATTGTAGGAGGAAGCGGACTTGGACGATGGGGAGAGCTATTTTTATGAAATGACCTCAGTATGAATTACTAACTCTGAGTATCAATGCCTTGCAGAGACTGTGGTAATGACCTGTCTCGGGGGGTTGCACTTTTTGAAGTGTTGCAATGCGTCATTAGCTTTAGTTTAGAGTGAAGACTGAACTGTGGGTTAAATGATGGATTCCTTGAAAACGGTGGAACCAACTGTGCAGCCCCTGAGGGTGGGTCCTGCAGCTCTCAACCAGGGCTTTCTGTCTTTGATTCTGGGTAACTGCTTCCTGGCATCCAGGAGTTAGAGATCTTTTCACCCTCCTTCACTAGTTCTTGATGCTTTCTTTAATGGGAATATTGAATTTGTTTATAAGCTGATTTGTTCAAACCAGGGAGTGTGGGCTCCTCCGGGGTGTCCTGCGGTCACTTTGCCTTCACAGCAAGGATGTAACCACTACTAAACACAGTTTTTACCTTTCTTTTATTCCCATTAAAACTGATGTGAAATAGTAGAAAGGCCTGTCATTATAGTCACACATGAAGTATGTGAGTCTAGTTTCTGCTCTGTCTCTTTAGAAACATTGTCAGCCTCGAGTCTAGCAAGGGGAGCTTTTCTACCTAAACATGAGGTGGAAGGTGTGGAAGGGGTGGCCAGAGTGGAACACAGGAGGTATGTACGGCGTGTGGTGACATGACCGTGGAGACATGACTGTGACAAATGGATCCTTAGGAGGAATCTCACTGACACACGGGGCTTGTCCCCACTGGAAGCTTTAACTTTAATTACATGAATTTCCTTGGGCCCCATTAAAAATGATCACTCTGTGTTTACGAAATGTTTATGGTTCAGGTATTATGTGTGCCTCTATATTAAAGGCTGATTGACAGCGTGTATGGAAATACTTTTAAATGGCAAGGCAGGATTGCTTCTCTGACCTGACTATGAAAAGTAAAGTGCTAACCTATGAGTATGTCCTGGATGTCAGTTTTGCCATCCAGGGGACACTGAACTCCCACTGGGGTGTCCTCGAACTCACAGAGATCCACCTGCCTCTACCTCCTGAGTGATGGGATTAAAGGCATGTGCCACCACACCCAGCCCTAGGTACACTTCTTATTTTTAAGGTATTTGAAGAATGTTACAATATCATATACCATTATTTAGACCATAGAAATGTTTCAGAATTACTTACATTTTAGGAAAATTGGGTTTTGGTCTGCAGTATTCAAATTTAAACACACATGACTACCTTTTGCTTTTATTGCTGATTTTTCACCCCCCAAATGGTACAGGCAGCCAGGTGGGATTAGGTGAAAATTACATGAAAAACTACTCTCTGAAATGGAGGTCTGCCAACTTAAGTTACAAAGTTACAGAGCACTTTTACTTCTGGCCACATCATTAGCATGCTACAATGTGGCTCTCTGGGTTTGATCAAGTCAGGGCTGTTGAGAACAGTGTGCTTCCTACCAGAGAAGACTACACCTGTGGCTGGGCTCTCGCATGCACAGAATGTAATCCTGACTGTTATTGCTCAGTTACTACACACATACTTGATGATTTACTGTGTATGTTTACAGTATTATTTATAAACTTTGTATGACCTTTAACTTTTTACAAAACACTTTTATAAGTATACAAGCTTGCAAGATGAAAATAAATCTATTTGCCTGTTAGTTGAGAAATGCAGCATTTATCTCAGTTAGTGACTCCCTGTCATTTTCCATGGGAGTCATCTAAGTTCTCTTACATTGGAGGGAGGCCCTAATTACTTCTCTACTGACAGTTCTTTTGGCCAGTCACAGGGTGAGGGCCCTGGTGTACCACTGTCAGTGGCAGTTTGAGAGGTTTTCCGTGGTAGGCATGCAGCTTGTAAGTACCCAGCCAGCAGGACTCCTTGAACAGATAGAACGAATACAAACCTTTTTGGTTGTTTGGTTTGAGACAGGGTTTCTCTGTAGCCTTGGCTGTTTAGGAATTTGCTCTGTAGACCAGGCTGGCCTCGAACTTAGAGGTCAGTACAAACACTGAATAGATTTTTCAGTTTTAAAAATGGAACTAAATTATCCCAAGGGAGCTACAGGGGAAGCATGGCTGTTGTTTCTGTTGAGACAGGGTTTCAACCTTGGGATCTTCCTGCATCTAGCTCCCAATCACTAGAATTACAGACCTACTCTTGTGCCCCACTAAGGAGAGGAACAACCTACTTGTGAATGAGAAATCTGTGGCTTTAATAAAATGAAAGCCAGCTTTGGGTCAGTGATACTCCAGTCCTCCCTTATTTCCTTTTTTTTTTTTTTTTTTTTTTTTTTTTGGTTTTTCGAGACAGGGTTTCTCTGTGTAGCTTTGCGCCTTTCCTGGATCTCGCACTGTAGACCAGGCTGGCCTCGAACTCACAGAGATCCGCCTGGCTCTGCCTCCCGAGTGCTGGGATTAAAGGCGTGCGCCACCACCGCCCGGCTTTTTTTTTTTTTTTTTTTTTTTTTTTTTATTTTATAAAATAAAGACAGCATTTAAACAAAGGAAGAGGAGCTAACCAAGGAAGTACTGGACTTGAGTTTAGTTCTGAGGCTTAACTTTAAAAATCTTACTAAAATTTGACTTAAAACACAGTACAATGAAAGATGATGAAAAGCACTTTATTGATTACAGATTACAGGAACAGCTCACTACAACATTTCACAAGCAACTGTACAAATAAAGGAGTGAGTCACTGTTACATCTCAGAATACTGTTGAATCCTGGCACAAGTCCTCTGCTTGTACAGTAAAGCTTTAGACATATGCCTGACATTCATAGTCAGTTGGCTTCGTTGTGGAAAATACTTGAGGACATTTCTAAGGTGCCTTATAGGAAGGAAAGTACTTAAATCAGCTTCAGGACACACTTGAGGTGTGGGCCATCTCACGGCTTCAGTGAGACGATGCAGATGTGCAAAGAGAAGCCTCTTGGGTGAGAAATGGTAGGCTAGAGCACCACTGTATAAAGACAGAAAGGCTTGCACAACCTCCCGCTGTGCCACTTTAGTCCTAGTTAACAGACCATGTGCTGGAAGATTCTGTTGGGTACATTTCATACTAGTTGTGATGCTACATTATTATACCTGTTTTACAAAGTCAGCCATTGGATTTAAGAAAAAAAAAAAACTTTTAGAAAACTCTGAAGATGGAAAATATTTCCTAAATACAAGATGCTCCATCAGTCTGCGGCTGACAGTGCTGACTTTGACCTCCTGTGAGCACTGTTGAACCAATGAAAAGCAGGAGCGAGCTGCTGTGTGCGTCACGAGCCGCAGGATCCGACTGAAGACCATCTTTGTCAAATGACAGACTCACCTGTGGGTGGCTCTTACATTTCTAACGGAAGCTAAGACATCATTTTAAATCATGCTTTCCACAGTGGCCAGAGAAAAAACATCTGGACACAGTTCTTAAGTATTTGTACAAGTCTGATATGATCTGCAGATTCTAAAAGAATGTTCCTTATTGAAATGATGGCAGGTCCATCTGGGGGATTGCTTATTCAGTTTTTCTAGGCTAGTCAATGGTTTAAAATACAGGATGTTCACATCCACATAATTTCCCTGAATAGTTTCATTTCTAAAACAAAGTCTTAGTTTTACTACTAAATCTAAATTATCAACAGGATTGGCGAGTACTTTCAACAACAGAATGATCATATTTATGGTTGTTTTTAAGATAGGATTTCTTTTCCTTTAAAAAAGGATTTAAATTATGTGTGTGCAGGTGTCTGAGGAAGCCAGAGGAGGGCTTTGGATCCCTTGAAGTTACAGGCAGTTGTTAGCCACCTCCACTGGGAACTGTTCTCAGGCCCCCTGTGAGAATAGCAAGCAGGTTTAACCACTGATCTCTCTCTCCAACCCTGGGACAAGGTTTCCATCTGCTAGCCCTGGTGACTGGCCTCAACTCTCAGTGATCCCTCTGTCCCAGCCTCCCAAGTAAAGGGTTACAGGCGTGCGCTAGTTCACTTCCTTTTTAATGGATTAAAATTCCTTAACAGAAACACATCAATCAGCTTGCTAAGTCTAAATGAAAATGACAGCTACTGACGAGCCTCGCTCTTCAAGAAGCAGACCCCAACACTTGGCATTTATGGACTTGGAATTCAATACAGTACATGCGTATCACTTCTAAGTGCAAGCTAGTTGGGGGCTGGGATATTACATGGAGCACAGCTGCCAAAATGAAGCTTGCCCGTCTCCAGGTGGAGATGGCCTTGCTGAACAGCACTTTGAGGCGTTTACTCAACCACATGGTGGGCACATTGTTTAAGAAAAGCACGTGTGCCTTTAAAATACTCAAGGAAAGCGGCACAGTGGCGAATGCCTGTGGACCCAGTTAGAGGCCAAGGCAGGAGCCATGGCAAAATGTTAAAAATCTTGTCCATCTCAAGATGACTTTTGTTTGATGTTATGCACGCTATGCGTCAACCTGCTAAGGCACGTATGTAGGCTAATTTCGAGAAGTTTCAGGCAATCCAATGTATTTATTTAGCCACAACAGAAACTGCAAAGAAACCCTGAAGGCACCAACCAGTAGAAAGCAGCTTGAGGAAGGTCATTGCTGTGTCAAACGTCAGTGCTGTGTGCTGTCAGCCACATGTTCATCATGGTTCCATAACATGAAAGTACATTCCTTTTTAAACAGATTTATGTGTATGAACGTTTTGCCTGCATGCATTAATGTGCCTGGTGCCCAAGGAAGTCAGATCCCCTGGGACTGGAGTTACAGGTAGTTGTGAGCTGCCATGTGGGTGCTGGGAATTGAACCCAGGTCCTCTGCAAGAATAACAAGTGCTCTTAACTGCTGAGCCAACTCTTCAGCCCTAAATTCCATTTTAAAACATTTAGGGCCATAGAATTCCTTTAGTATGACTTTTGACTGACACACACAGCTGAGGACTGAACGCAGGGCCTTGTGCTTCAAGTACTTTACCCCAGGTTTAATCACTAGCCCCATTTTTAAATACATATTAGAAGAGCTGTTCTGAACAGTTTGGGGTGAATTCTGAGCTACACAACGGACTTAGACACATATACCCTTTTAGGGGGAGTGATTTGATCAGTGCTTCAACTCTGGCTTGGGTGGGGCAGGCTGCAGATGTAGCCTGGCGGTAGAGTGCTTTCCAGGCAACAGGTACAAGCAAGGCTAGATTCCATCCCACCACTGTCAGGCTTTTCTTTTTTTAAGTAAATTGTGCCCTATTTCCGAGAGCTACGCTTTACAAAGTGACCTCCCTAATTCACAAATAGAGCAAAGGTGTCCCCGAAACTAAGGGTTGAGGTACACATTCACACCTGCCATTGGTGGTCTGTTTCTCTTCAGTACTGTATCTCAGTTCACCTCTATCCTGTAGGGAGCAAAGAAAGCCCTGAGTGCATGTGTGCTGTTGACAGGGGTACTGCTGTGTCAAGGACCCTTGCTCCAGACCCGTGGAAGAACGGCAAAGCCCTCCTGGCTTGAGTATGAATGCTGATGGACTATGTAGAAAAGTCCACCATAGCACCCCTCCCTACCCCCAATATTTACAGCCCGAAGACTGTTTCCCTGCAGAGGCTGCTCTTACGGAGATTAGCCATCCTTGTCTCCTTGACCCAGCTGCACACCGTAACCGCTGCCTCCTTGTTCATCTGTGTACAGTAGCACCAACTCTGCTACTCCACGTAACACATTCCTTCCTGGGAGCTGCAGTTTCCCCACAGGAGAGCCCAGTCTACATGACCCCAGCTTTCTGTGTCTGTGTGTCTGCTTTTCATTCCCTTTGCGCCCCACTCAGGTCCAACCCTGGAGCTGTGTGGGAGGAGGCTCTGTCCACTGTACTCTCTTAAGAGCAACTGACCTTGATAACAGGGATGCTGATTTTATCACAGCGGATACATACATAGGCACATTCACAGTATAAGGATGAAAAGTCACAGAAACAGTTTGGGACTATTAAGGTTATAGTTACAGGTGCTCAACTTTAACAATAAAACTGCTAAACAGCAACTTACATGTTACTGAGTTACAAAACAATGTGTGTGTATACATCCAAGTAACCCATGAAGGCAGCACCCAGCAAGACTTAACTCTTGTCAGTCATTTAAATTTGCAGGAGAAAACAAGAGGAGAGGCATCTCTGTTCAGTCTGGAGGCAGGACAGCCCAATGACAGACACTTTACTGAGCAATTGGACAGCTTGCTGCGAGCTGAACCCCTCTGAAACAATGCTTTAGGCTCGAGGGTTCAGCTCCAGACAGCCTGCAGTAAGCTACTTGGAAACAAGTGTGTCATGCTATGGAGAACAGCACTACACGGCAGCAGAACTTGTCCATCAGAGGAGCTGGGGATGCAGAGCAGTTGCCTGGCGGGCACCAGGCCCTGGATTCCTTCTGCAGCACCACCAATGGGAAAGCAGAAGTTTAAGGGTACACTTACTACAGATAAAAGCAACAGATTTGACACAACACTGAATTCATGAAGCCATCTTACTACATGTAAGTTAGTGCCAGTGGCGTGGATGAGTTTACGTTTCTCAAGAATGTAAAAGGTGAGACAGTTTCCTGCCTATTACAGAGAATACTGGGCAAAAGTCTTCAGATACAGGGACAAGTCAGGTTTTGTCATACCGGAAATACTAGTATATTCTATACACTTGGTTTCTGAAAGTGAAATTAACAGCAAGATCCAAAGGTCCAAAGGGCTCAGCCTTTTAGAATACCAAAAATTACATGCCAGTGTCTACTGGTTATTAATATAATAATAAACTGTAATGACACTTCAATGTGTTCCTGTGTCAAAGTGAAATTTTTACCCCCTGCCTTCCCATCACCTGCCCCCTCAAAGACTCAAAGGAGCACTTACTTAGATTCCTAGCTGGCAAAGACTGTGTCAGTCAGCCACTGGCTCCCTCAGAGCCACCATCCTCTCAGCACTGCTAGTCATGAAGCCATCAGGGACTCTAACGTTAAAATGCAACGTCAGAACCCAAGGGGACTCCTTCAGACAGCACATATATCTACACTATCACTTCTGCCTATCCTGAGTCCTGGCTCTTCCGTGATAACACTTTAAAAATGTGACGTTTTCATATAGACAGAGTTCAAGGGGAGTCCCTGACAAAATGCAAACACAATGGTCATCTGCTAACGAGTGTCTATTCTAATCTACAGAAAACCAGCACAAGCGAGTCTGTCGGGGTTAAAGTCAACACAACTGCTCAGCTAACACCCCGGCCCTTCGACCTCAACAAGGGACCTTCATCTTGATTGTTCCTTTTACACCATTTGGTTGTAGTTTATTGAAAGCTTCTTTTCGTATGTCGTCATTTCAATAGAAACATCTTCATCCGCAAATAGAAGGTAGAGTTCTTCTCATAGCTATAGGCTGTAGCATGGATTTCTCCAAATAACCATTGGAGAACAAAAAAATGACACTGTTAATTCCAGATTCTAAGAAAACTGTCCCAGGAGCCGGTGGCCACAGCCATGCCATCATCAGTGACACCTAAGCAGCTAACACGGTTGTCATGACCAGCAAGGACACCTACAAAGAAAGGTCAATACAAGGTTAAAACTGGACTTTTAGAACTACCAAAGTTGTGCATTACAGCGCAGACAGTGATTTAAAAAATGAGAGGCATCCTGGGGACACTGCTGTCAGGGCAAGTCAGGCACAGGACACAACACACCAGGCATCCTGGGGAGACTGCTGTCAGGGCAAGTCAGGCACAGGACATAACACACCAGGCATCCTGGGGAGACTGCTGTCAGGGCAAGTCAGGCACAGGACACAACACACCACGGGTTAACTGATTTTTTTTTTTAACACAAAAACATCAATTTTTGAGAAGTTATACAAAAAGTTTTACAAAAAGAAAAATTGAGACAGGGGTCTCATGTAGTCCAGGCTGATCTTGAACTTGGTACCCAGCCAAAGATAACCTTAAGATCCTAATCCTCCTGGGTCTACCTTCCAAGTGCTGGGATAACAAACGTGTGCTATTGAACCTGGGTGCTTTGTAATTTTCCTTTCTAGAAAAGGAAACAAATGTAAAGGCAAATTCCACATCTCTAGTAAGTTCGTGCTAGTCCAGTTTTGCTACTGAACTGTCTTTCAATAAAAACACATTTTTAAATGGAAGTTCAATACAGTATACTTTTCCCACAAGAACAAGAGAGCTGCCTTCCATCCTATTTCCAGAACAGACCCAAATCATTCATTTAGTTTTCTGTTGAGCACCAAATAGACTAGTTATAACTGAATGAAGCCACTGAGCTCATTAAGTTCTGTTTGTTTTGCAGTGATCTGAGACTCACCCATCCCTTTTACTGCACAGGACAAACTGAACAATTCTCAAGCTTTAAGTGAAAAATGCAAATATTCAAATGAAAAGGAGAATATCCTCTCATTATCTCGTGGCAAAGAATGTGTGAACAGTCACTGGCTCCCTCAGAGACGCCCTCCTAATCATGAAGCCGTCAGGGACTCTGAGGTTAAAATGCAATGTCAGAACCTAACATCTCTCTTTAAACATAATTTCACTCTCAGAAGTTTATCCTGTTTAAATATTCCCGGTAGTATCTCCAGTCTGGCAGTGAATGGTACTTTACCATCATGGGGTTGAAATAACGTAACAGAAAGCCCAGAGGTGGCCTTGCCGGTCACCTGGAAAGGGCAGTGAAGGGATTGCCCCCCAAGTCTGGATCTGGCTGTGAAGTGAGACACTGTGCTGAACCAGCTGGAGGGCAGCTATCAGCAAAGCAAACCTGAAACTCGAGCATATCTTAGAAATGAGCTAGGATACGAGCAGATTAGCAGCCAAATACAAAATACCTTACGGAGTGGCTGGCATTGGGCAGCAGATCCTTTTCAAAACTCGACTTGCAAGGTATAAAACTCTGAACTGCAGTTCGTTAACTGGCTGCAGAAAATTACTCCTGGAAGAGCTGAGACCCTGTGTGTGCAGACCTCAACAACCCTGGGGGTTTCTAAAGGTAGGAAGTGAGCAAAAGAGGCACAAGGCAGCAACAGAGCTGTAAGCTACAAGATCCTCAGCAGGGATCTCTGGGACTTGGGAGGGGGGGCAAGAGTGTCAAAACAGAACTGCATTAGCAAGGGGCCAGTAGGGGTGACACCCCCCATCTGCTGTCTGATACCTGTCACATGACCATCTTGTGTCACATAATAATCTTGTGCCAGTTTAAGACTAGAGATTCAGTCACTAGGCCACTAACATATCTCCTGACTGGAAGAAAGAACCAGTTGAGATTGGTAAAAATGGAGATCGGAGTTGACTTGCTAAACTGTGATCCCAGCTTCCCTCTGGAATCAGCCTCAGATAGTGGTGGGGAGCACAGGGAAGAAGTATGTGTGTAAAAAAAGAAAACTGGTAATAATGCAGGCATGCTATTTAAAGTTGGGTTTGGAGATGGGGGGGGTCTTGATGTATAGCCCAGACTGGCCTCAAACTTGTGATCTTCCTGTCTCTGTCTCAGGCATACAACACTGCACCCTACCAGTTTTTCTTGGGGTGCAGAAGAATGTTTGTGGTGTTATAGTAGTAACAAACCACGCACACACAGCCATTTGATTCCTGAAGTAGAATTTTAAATTATTTTAGTTAACATTAAAAATTCCTCCATTTATGGGGGCTGGAGAGATGGCTCAGAGGTTAAGAGCATTGGCTGCTCTTCCAGAGGTCCTGAGTTCAATTCCCAGCAACCGTAGAATTTTAAATTATTTTAGTTAACATTAAAAATTCCTCCATTTATGGGGGCTGGAGAGATGGCTCAGAGGTTAAGAGCATTGGCTGCTCTTCCAGAGGTCCTGAGTTCAATTCCCAGCAACCACATGATGGATCACAACCATCTGTAATGAGATCTGGCGCCCTCTTCTGGCCTGCAGGCATACATGCAGAAAGAACACTGTACACATGATAAATAAAATAAATCTTTAAAAAAGAAAAAAAAAATCCCTCCATTTAATCCCAGTTCCAGTATGGCTGCTATGTTGTCTTTTAATGGGACCTGCAGTGGAGGGCTCCTGTTGAGGCTTGGAAGACAGTCTGCCTGTCCTCAGGATCAGTCTCAAGAGCATGAGTCACAGCAGAAACCATGCTTCCTGTCAGATTAGAGAACGATGGCTTAGCCCCAAGTGACAGCTTAGCATGGCATGATGGTGGTATTCACTAGCAATCCCAGCATTTGGAAGGCTGAGGCAGGGGGATGTGGAGCTCAAGGCCAGCATGGGTTTCACACTGAGTTCCAAGCATAAGAACATGTCTCAGAATAATAAGTAAACAAACCAAGATGTAAGAAAAAGAAAACTGGTTTGTGAAAGATGGCACCAATTTATATTCACTGCTCTTGACCCTAATTTACCAAATAGGACCCAATGTCATTCTTCAACAGGGTATATGTTCCAACTACCCTCAAAGGTAATGAAGAATATGAAGGAGAGGACCCAGTTGCTGTTCTGAAAGCTCCAGGACGCCCAGCAGGCCCCAGTGTAAGACAGAACCGGCCTTGGCCACATCACTAACCTGCCCGACCTCCTTTCAGCGCATCCCACACACTGCAGTTGAAGTCATCATAGCCGGCTAGCAGGAGGCGCCCACTCTTTGAGAAGGCCACAGAAGTGATGCCGCAGATGATATTGTCATGAGAATACAACAGTAGCTCTTGGTCTGCACGGAGGTCAAAGAGCCGGCAAGTGGCATCATCAGAGCCAGTGGCAAAGGCATATCCACTTGGGAAGAACTAGAAAGGAAAAAAATACATAAAAACAATGGGGGCACAGATCCTGGCACTGGGGTGTGATGAGATTGGTCTATACCAAGAAGAGATGCATACAGAGACTATGGAGGCAGAGAACCTGGGATGGGAGGTGGGGCAGGCTTAAAGTCTAATTTTGCTTCTTTCCATGTCAGTGACTGCTGAAAAGTTTGTTCCTTTTTATGTGAGCCAGGGTTTCACCATGTAGCCCAGGCTGACCCAGAACTCACAACACTCCTGCTTCAGCCTCCTAAGTGCTAGGGTTACAAAGGTGTGAGCCACCACATCTGGCCTAATCCATATATATTTTTTAATATTCTAGGCTTTAGTTTTAGCTGAAGAGTTGGGACTGAATAGCATACACAAAGTGCACTGCCCACTGTTCAGCACACAGTGTTAATAACACTGCTGTGGTCCTTCACTGTCTGATCAAAACATTTCCGTCCAGTGTTACCGAGTGCCTATCACTCAGGAGCCAGGAACTGCACTGCACCATGACAGCAGACAAGGATTGCATGTCCACACTGTTCTGTTGGAAGCTCTGCCTCAGCATCCCCTCCTCCCTCTCCAAACCCTGCCCCTTTAAGAAAGCCCACCAAGCAGAACCATGCCTACAGGGTATTTAAGCTCCAATCCATAGACCTGCCATGTGATCCCCCTGCCCTCCGCCCCAGATCACAGGGGACTGCTTTGCTCACTTTAAACCTGGTCCACCAAGAAACAACAGGTCTCCAAAATACTTTAGATTAGGATAGATTTCTCTATGATAATTCCTGTCCTGTCCTGAAAACAAGGTTTATGAAAGAATTTAAAACAATGCTGGCTTCCTGAGGTATCAAAGCTGCACCTCCAATGCACTCATGTACAGGACATATCTTACTGGCAGCCAGATTTTTGTGTTTTGTCTTCTAGAGATACTAAACTGCTTATACCTAGCAGACAATGATTCCCTGATGCTCAAACACTTCAGAGATCTGAGAATATGGCATGTAATAAAAAAAAAAGCTTCTCAGGATAGAGACATGCCAGTTCCTGGCAGCACCCTGTACCTCCTTAAAGGAACATGGATGGCTGGCTGCAGAAGAACTTCCACCTGGAACTTGCTTTAAATGTAGCAAAGCCAGCCATGGAGTGGAAAACTGCTTTGCACCTTAACTGCTGCTAAGACCCTGTCCAGACTGTGGACAAGCAGGACACTGAGGAATTGATTGGCCCACTTCGACAAGGTAAGATAGGCTGGTCTCCCCAAATTCCTACTCCACAGGAAAGTCAATCAGATCTTCTGGTCTTGGAAGCTTTAGGACCTCTGTCCCAACGACCACAGAGAAACCTGGGGTAGCTGCCTCACTCCTGCTTACTCAGGTGGAATTTATCCTTCTCAGATCTGATGGTGTTTGATGACTAGGGTACTGACAGATTTACCATTTTAACAGCTCTCCCCTGACCCCAAGGCTACAACTACCTTGGTATCTCATTAGTTCATTAGTTAAGTTTCCTGTTAAAAATATAGACAGGTTTGCCTTGTTCACAGGATAAACAGGCTTCAGATGTAACTTCCCAGTTAAGGTATGTAAAGGTGATGTTCTAAGTATAGACTTAAAGGTATGCTCCATATGGCTAAAACCAGGCCTTAGGAAAAAACATTTTAACCCAGACATAGCCTTTGCTATGACACCAAGGTATAAATCTGTTCCAGCTGTTTTACAGGCACCTGCAGGTTCCTGGGGAAAGAGTTCTGCTACTGTATCAAGAAATCTGGCCTGGTGGAAACTAATATCAGTCTCTAGAGACCCTCTTTGACCCCACCCATCTTCGAACCTGTATTTTACAGGTCCACTCTTCCTGCCAGACATGGGCCAAAGCCAACCTGTAGGGGGCCCTCCAGATATGCCAGCTCCTGCACCAGCTCTGAGGACACCAACCAGGCGAGGTTGACTTCACCCACATGCCCACTCATAAAAAGCTCCATCATCTCTTAACTCTTACTGACACCTTTACAGAATGGATGGAGGCACTCCCCACCTCCAGGGAAACAGCAGATGTGACGGCTCAGGTACTCCTGGAACACATCATCCCCTAACCTGGCATGCCATCCCCACAAGCTCCTGGGACGTCAGTACTGTTACCATCTCTCCAGGCTCAAGTGGGCACCTTTCCAGGATGGATGGACTGTCCAGCAGCTGGGACCCTCCACCCTCCAGTTTTCCAAATTGTCCCAATGAAGGGCCTGTCTGCTCCTCTGCCTGGCCCATTCATCTTTGTCAGCACAACCAGGGCACGTCTCCATCCCATTCTTACTGGCAATCACCACTCTTCCCATGGCTAATCCCGTTCATAGGGCCGGTGATAACAACCTACTTTTTCTCCTAGCAACCTGCCTTCTCCGCTTCCTCAAGAAACGGATCCCTGAGGCCTCCAGGATGGCAGTTAACGGAATGCTGAGCATGAGCCCACTGACTCCCGACTCCCCCTCCCCACATCATCCCATGCCAATAGGAAGTTTGAACCGTTGGAAGCTCCACCTCAGCCTCACCCCCACTCCAAACCCTCCCCCTTTCAGAAAGCTTGACAAGGCCAGGCAGTGGTGGCGCACGCCTTTAATCCCAGCACTCAAGAGGCAGAAACAGGCGGATCCCTATTAGTTCAAGGCCAGCCTGGGCTACAGAGCAAGTTCCAGGACAGGCCCCAAACCTACAGAGAAACCCTGTCTTGAAAAACTAAAAAAAAACAAAAACAAAAAAACAAAAAGCAGCAGCTCCTCCCCAATAGCTACTCAGGATCTCGACTACAGGGTATTTTTTTTTAAAGAGATTTATTTATTTATTATGTATACAACATTTTGCCTCCATGTATGCCTGCAGGCCAGGAGAGGGCACCAGATCTCATTATAGATGGCTGTGAGCTATCATGTGGTTGCTGGGAATTGAACTCAGGACCTCTGGAAGAACAGCCAGTATTCTTAACCTCAGAGCCATCTCTCCAGCCCAACTACAGGGTATTTAAGCCTGGTCCATAGACCTACCATGTGATTTCTCCTCCTCCCTTCCCCCAAGATCACCAGGGAATGCTTTACTCAGATTAAACCTGGTCCTTTACTTTTAATTTGGCTCGATTTGTCTTTGTGTTGGAGGAGAAACCTACTACCAGGGATTCAAAATACTTATCACACACTAAGATCAGCATCAGTGCAGTGGTCTCCCAGGACCAGGGGCCACCAGGATGCTAAGAGGAGGTTACTACACACAAGTCAGAAACACAGCAAACCAAAACTCCCTGTGCCAATCATAAGTCAAGCATTACTATTTATAGGCTGTTTTCAATATTACAGAATCCTATTATGAGAAATAAATTGGAAAGATTTTAGAAAATACAGAACACTAGGACTGGGAGATAGCTCAACAGATAAAGCATTTGTGCACCTGTGAAGACTAGACTGGGATTGCTGGTGTGTGCCACCATCATGCCATGCTATGGAGCCCAGCACCCACATAAATGTGGGCCAAATGTGGAGGCCTGCCCCGGCACCCACGTGTATGCTGGCCCAGTGTGGAGGCCTGCCCCGGCACCCACGTGTATGCTGGCCCAGTGTGGAGGCCTGCACCAGCACCCACGTGTATGCTGGCCCAGTGTGGAGGCCTGCACCAGCACCCATATATATGCTGGCCTGCCTGTACTTCAGCATCTGGGTTGCAGAGATGGGATCCCCCAAGCAAGCTAACTAGTATAGGTGAACTCTGGGTTCAACTGAGAGACCCTGCCTCAGTGAATAAGGTGAAGAGTGACCCAGGAGGACACCCAACATCAGTCTACACACACAGGTGTTTACACATGCACACAGGAGCACCACACCTGCACACACATCATATACATTACACATGCAAAAAAAACACAAAATATACAACTTGCACTTCCATTAGATATGGTGTGATACAGACCCAGGCATGACTGGCACGTGAGGAACCCTTTCTGGGGCAGCCCTAGTCGGTGTGCCTTTCCATAGAGGAGAAGCACACTTCCAGCTTCTGGAAACCACTTTCCCATGATGAGTTCTGTTCTCTGCAACTGAGCCACTGATGCTGATTTCTTAATTTGCAGGAACAAAATGGCTGTAAATTGGTTTTATTTGCTACAGATGTGACTCTGCAGCCATGTTAAGGTTTTATGTATCAGGTTTGTTTAGCTTTCACTTAGATTTCCTTCATTAATTTTGTTTTTGAGACAGAAGCTCCTGTATCCCATGCTGACCTTGAACTCACTGAGTAGCTGAGGATGGCCTTGAACTTCTGATCCTCCTGAGAGCTGGGGTTCCAGGCATGTGCCACCACACCCAGCTTCCTTTCATGACTTACAGGTGTGTATGGGAGTGCACAGGATGCAGCCAGAAGTCAACATCGGGGATTTTCCTCAGTCACTCCCCATTTCATGTTTTTGTTGTTGTTTAGATGAGGTCTCTCACAGAACCTGGATCTGCAGCTCAAGCTGTGGGAATCCTGTCTGCTCCCCCAAGTGCTGGGATTTAAGTCCTGCCATGCCAGCTTTTTTACTTGAGTTCTGTGGATCAAAGTCAGGTCCTCACATGTGCATATTGAATACCAACTGAGCCATCTCCCGGCTTCCTTCATTACTCCTAATGAACAGTCCATAATTATTTTAGTTCTTTTAATTTCATATATTAATCTTCCCCCTCTGGAGTCTATTTGATAAACAGCCTTCAAAGCAGGGCTCTAACTTAGTTTTCATTAATACTTGAGCAGTTGTTCAGCCGTTAATTAATTTTTCTATTGATCTTCTGCTATAATCATTCACTAAATTCCTGACAACAACCTTGGGTTCTTTCTCTGTGCAGGGGATTAGCCCTTGTCCTCATATAAGCTAAGCAAGTGCTGAACCACTGAACTACACTACCAAGTTTTAAAATATTAACACTTTAATAATATTTAGTATTTTATAACCTACCCTTAGGTTTTAAAATAATTTGTTTGATGGCTATAGTTGCTTCAATTAAATGTATCTCCAATTACTAAGTACAAATATATCATAATAATATCTTTCAGCTTCTTGACTTATCTTTTTTCAGTCTCAGATCTGACTACAGTTGAAAGTTTGAGGAGGATTTATATAGTGGGGCAGGGTTATTTCCAGCCTTAGTAAGCACAGGGAGACAGTCCCCACTGTTTCACAGTCTCACAGGCATGGCCTGGCAGGGCAGCAGCTTGACTAGGTTCTTGGAAATGGCTGGGGCTGCTCTCATTGAATAGGACTTCTCCACTCCAAACAGGAAATGCTTTCCTCACAGATTCCTGGAAGGCACCACCACCACCACCAGGCTCCACTCTTGGCTTCTTAAAAACAGTTTCACTATGTAGCCCAAGACAGCTTCAAATCTGCAGCAATTCTCCTGTCTCTGTCTCTGAAGTGCTAGGACTAAGGCATGGACTTATTCCTAAGGCCTAGGCTACTTATACAATATTTTTCTTTCAATTATTTCATTTTAAAAGGGGACTCAGTGTGTACTAACAGCTTAATGTCTCATCCCCACAAACAAACAAACAGAATATGAAAACAATATCGTCTCTGTGCTGTAGCTAGTGTTTTCCTGCCTGGCCCACAGTCAGGACAAATCTCTCTCACCCGCCAGTCCAACAGCCGCTCAGACCCAACCAAGTAAACACAGAGACTTATATTGTTTACAAACTGTATGGCCGTGGCAGGCTTCTTGCTAACTGTTCTTATAACTTAAATTAACCCATTTCTATAAATCTATACCTTGCCACATGGCTTGTGGCTTACCGGCATCTTCACATGCTGCTTATCATGGTAGTGTCTCCCTCCGCCTCTTCCTGTTCTCTCAATTCTCTCTGTTAGTCCCGTCTATACTTCCTGCCTGGCCACTGGCCAATCAGTGTTTTATTTATTGACCAATCAGAGCATCTGACATACAGACCATCCCACAGCACTGTGCATGTATGAGGACATAAGGACATGGATGGAGTTTGCATCCCCAGCTCCTGTGTGACAAGTTGGGCGTGGCTGAGTGTGCCTGTGACCCAGCACTGTGGGCGTGGCTGAGTGTGCCTGTAACCCCAGCACTGTGGGCAGAGACAGGCAGATGATCCTCAGAAACTGCCGATGAGCCATCTCGGCCAAGAAGGCAAGCTTCCAGTTCAGTGAGACCTGTCCTAGGTAATAAGGTAGCCAGTTACAGAGGAGGACTCCTGATCTTGTTTGGATCTCTGCACATACACACAGGTCTACACACCCCATACTCTTGCACATGTACCACACATCACTCACACTCAATTTAAAATAGCAATAATAAACAAATTAAATTTTAGCAAGCCAAAAAGAAAACAAACAAAAACAAGCACCTGCATAGCATTACTGAGGGCCTGGGTTCAATACTCAGCACCACTCAAACACAGCCCCGGGGTAGGGGTGGGGCTAGGGAAGGTGAGGGGAGAGAGAAAAACAAAAACCACACATTTCAATAGTAAAGGGAAAGTGATAAAATTCAGCATCTGTTCCTGGTTTTTAAAGCTTACAGCATTCAGCTGAGGAGGGTTCAGTACCCAGCACCCAGCACCCAGATCCAGCAGTTTACAATCAACTCTAACTCTAGGGGATTCCATGTTCAATGCCTTCTTCTCTGGTCTTCAAGGGCACCTGCACACACCTGTGCAGATGCACACAAGCACACACACATACACACACTATACATCTCTTAAAAACCGTTGGTAATTGTGAATATAAGAGGATGCACTCAGCCTTGCAAAGGCGACCCATGATAGATGGGGCAGGTGTGCCTTCTCTGGGATGCTGTCAACCTAAGCAGGCTGACCTGAAAGAGGGGGACTAAGCATTTACTCTCTCTGATGCTGTGTTGGTCAGTTTTTGTCCACTACACACGAACGAGAGTCATTTGGGAAGAGGGAGCCTTAACTGAGAGGATGCCTCCATCTCCATCAGGTTGGCCTGTAGGCAAGTCTACAAGGCATACTTTGATTACTGATTGATGAAGGAGAGCCCAGTCCACTGCGCTATGTACCACCCTGGGCAGGTAATCCTGGGTTATAAAAACACAAGTAATAAAAATCCAAAGTGGGCAAGCAGGAAGCAGCACTCCTCCATGGCCTCTGCTTCAGTTCCTGCCTCCAGGTTCCTATCTAGAGTTCCTGCCCTGACTTCCCTCAGTGATGGACTATTACCTGGAAGTGTAAGCTGAAATAAACTCTTTTCTCTCCAAGTTCCTTAGTCAGTGTTTTATCATAGCAAAAGAAAGCAAATAGGGCCGTTGTAATCTACAAAACCGTATGAAAATGACTTTCAGCATGGGAATAATAAAGCACACACACACACACACCTTCTTATAGCACTGCAATGTCTTCATTGTAATTGACAAGCATGGTTCCTTTGGAATGTCTACAGCCTTGGGCATCTGAACTGTGCAGGGGCACTAGAGGACTCAAAGTGGTGGCCCCCATTCTTTAGAACCCCACCCCTCAATCACCACTTGATAATCATCTGTATTGTCATTCAGCTAGTTCATCCCCCTTCATCTCCAGCACCTGGGATCTGCTTAGCTTGCCTGTGTTTATCTGACTGGTTTCTAAAAATATGAAGTATCACTGGGCAGCGGTGGTGCATGCCTTTGATCCCAGCACTCAGGATGCAGAGCCAGGAGGATCTCTGTGAGTTCGAGGCCAGTCTGGTCTACAGAGCCAAGATCCAGGACAGGCATTAAAATTACACAGAGAAACCCTGTCTTGAAAAACGGAAAAAAAAAAAAAAAAAATTATCAGGGCTGGGGGACGGCTCCTTTAGTGAAGTGCTCGCTGCACAAGCAAGCAGACCTGAATTCAACCCCCAGCCTTCGTGTCAAAGGAGCGCTCCCCTGTAACTCCAGCACTGGAGTGTTCCAGAGACAGGCAGATCCCCAGAACTGCAGAGCCACTAGACTGCCTTGATTAGCTCCAGGTTCAGTGAGAGATGCTCTCTAAAACTAAGGTGATGCATACCTGGAATTCCAGCACTTGGGAGGCAGAGGCAGGAGGATCTCTGTGCGTCTTGAAACCCACCCTAGTCTACTCAGTAAGTTCCAAGCCAGCCAGGGCTAGTGAGACCCTGTATCACAAAAGGAGGAGGCATCAGATGTCCACTTTTGGCCTTGACAGTATGTGCACACATGGACATACACAGCCACAGGCGTGTGTGTGCACATGGACACTAAAGTAATCCTAATAATCTACAATCTTTCCTGTGTTTCTAATACACAATTCATTTAGTCTCCAAACTGTTTTCTGATTAAGTAGCTTCAGCCCTGTTAGGAAGGCTGGAGTGTGAGGCTTGCTGACATTATGCAGCTCAGTCAGTTTTAAAGCTGGTACAAGGCAGAACTGCCACCTCCCTGATTTGGCTGTCTCTTTCTCTACAGAGAGCAGCACCCCCTTCCTCACTGCGCCCTGTGTGGTACCTCTCCACACAGGATGGTTTCTCATCGAAACACAGTGAACAGCTATAGGCTGCCTGCTCCCCAATGACAGCCTGTCCCTACTCATTTTGGAAATAAAGCTTGTATCTTGTCGAAAAATAAGCACCAGATTTATGGATTAAAAATATTAAAAATAAAACCTACTGAGGATTTGGTGTTGTAAGAGCACACTGGTTATAAGACTCAATGAAAGCAATCTGTTTGTTATAATGGTGTTCAGCACTTTAGACACATAGTAAATTTTTTGAGAGGTGGAGGCAGAAGGATCAGGAGGATCAAGAGTACAAGGCTATCTGCAGCTACAATAGCAAGGTAGGGGCCATCCTGGGCTACATGAGACTGTTCCTGAAACAAGCCAACAAAACAAAACAATAAATAAACATGCTTCACTTACGCTGACAGCATTGATGTCTGAGATATGTCCCGTGAAAGACTGTCTACACATCCCATCTCGGACATCCCACAGTTTTGAAGACGCGTCACAAGCACCAGAAACAAAGGTCTTCAAGTCAGGACTCAGTGAGAGACTCATCACATCACCCGAGTGTCCTGCGAAGGTCGTAGTCTGCTGCCCCGTCTCGATGTCCCACAATGCACTGAGTAAACACAAGTACAGACACAAAATGACTACATCCCTCCCTGGTGTCTCTGCCCACTAATACAGGCTTCTTTTGAACTTACCACGTCGTGTCTCCTGAGCTGGTAATGATTTGTCCATCATCTAAGAATCGGCAGCAGGACAAGTAGCCTGCAACAAGAGCAGCACATGTCAGGCCGTGGCCCCAGTGACACAGCAGGACAAAACCTTAAACTCAGGCAACAGGGCCTGTCAGTGGGACACAGAGCTCTGCTTCAATGATTCCAATTCCTTGCTGCCTTCTGAGGTCCTCACTGTATCAGACAGTGAGCACTCAAGTGACCACATCAAGCATGGCAGCCTATTAGCAGCACAGTGTGTTTAACCCTGACATTGGGACACAACACTGTCATCTACAAAATTCATGCTTAAGAACCATACAATTGAATTTTTTTTTTCCGAGACAAGGTTTTGGTGCCTGTCCTAGATCTCACTCTGTAGCCCAGGCTGGCCTCGAACTCACAGAGATCCGCCTGGCTCTCTGCCTCCCGAGTGCTGGGATTAAAAGCATTAAATGCAGCCTGGTGACAATTGAATTTTTAAAAATTGAAATAAAATGAGTTTTTTTTTTTTTCAGTATATTTATGACAGTGTGTTGGGCTGCATTCATAGCTATCCTGGGCTCCATGTGGTCTGTAGGCTGCAGGTTGGACACATCTGAGAGAAGGTGCTCCCTAATGAGTACCTAGAACCTAGAACCCACGGCAGAATGGGCCCAGTACTGGAGCAGACCCTAAAAATACCATGAAAGCTTTATGGGAAATGTGGCATCTGCATGATTCATGTCCATCAGCATTTCAGAGTCCCCAAGTGGCAGAGAAACATTGTTCTGAGACTCTGTAGAAATGTGGTCAACAGACCGGAAGGATACGAGCGGCAGGGACCGCCTAAGTACGGAGGCCTGGGAGTGAGCACTGCCGCACAGCTACCGCGCGTCTGGTGACCTAAGGATTCCACCAGCACAGACAGTCCAATCCTGGGCCTTGTTCCAGGGCAGCAGAAAGTGCACAGGCTGTCTTTGCTTCCTTTGGTAGTTTTTTATGATTGTCTGGATTTTTTGGGTAGCAAATTTATCATGTTTACAAAACAATACAGTTATATTTGAAAGAAAGAAATCATGGGGGTAGAAGTACACCTCCACGGAGAATGCACATGCCGTGGGCTCAAGGCCCCAAAGGCGACCCCCAGCCCCAGATGAAAGGAACCAAATGACCATTATCACATGCACTCTGAGTTACTACTACTTTGAAATCACAGTAACTTCTGCTTTCCTTTGCCTCTGGCTACCCGATCACAGTCTGCCATGTGCCCTTGGTCAGCTGTCAGGCCAGGGGAGGCTGAGGACAGAGGACATTTAACCACTCACCTGTGTGCCCTGGCAGTTCTCTGCTCACCCGCACATTCCCCTCTCGAGTCTTCAGGTTGTATATGGAGCAGATGTTGTCCAAGCCTCCACAGGCAACATAGTTCCCAGATGGGGCATAGGCACAAGTCATCACCCAGGAGGACCGCAGCGGAATGGCATGCATCTACCACACAAGCAATGCACAGAGGCACGGGGACTGTTATGGGGAAAGACTTCAAGGGCAGTCAGTGCATTCCTAAACCTGTTTACGATGAGGCAAGCTTGGCTGGGAATCAGCTAAGAACAAACGGGCAGGAGCTGGGGAAAGGAGGCCATGAGACCTGAAAACGCCACAGGCACACAGGATGGACGCCCCTTCTGTGTTAGCAGGCCACCTGGATTTGAAGTGTTCGCTTTAGGAACAGTTTTAATTATGGGCCTGTGTGGTAATGTGCAGGCGCCCTCAGAACCACAGGCATCGGATCCCCTAGAGCTGGAGCCACAGGGGGTTGTGAGCCCTTGATGTAGGTTCTAGGAACCAAACTTGGCGCCTCTGGAAGAGCACCAAGAGCTTTTAACCAAGTGAGCCATCTCTGTAGCGCCATACCCCTCCCAATGTTTTAAATAAAAGCAAAGCTATTCGGATTTTGTCTTTGTTTTTTGAGAAACAATCTTAATTCCCTGTTGGCCTGGAATTACTTATGTAGACCAGAATGGACTCAAAGAGATCTGCTTGCCTCTGCCTACTGAATAAGGTGTGAAATATGAATAAAGATTTTAGCAAAATCATTGGTACAATAATGCTCCAAAGCGGAATCTCTATACCTGAACACTGAACCATAAAAGGGAGGGAGCGGGGAAGAACCAGGGCCACTCTGAATGGCTTTCCCGAGGGGCCTGCAGGAGTGCCCTGGTATTAACAGGAATACACTCCAGGACTCAGAGGCGATGCAATGGTCTAGTCAGACTTAGAAGCAGGTCAAGTGGAACAGCAGGTGTTTTGATTTACCAAGGCTAACCCCATACAGGGTGTCCACACATCCTGTGATACGACCACGCTTCCTCTTGACCTAAAATAATATCATAAAAGTGTATTTGTTTTTCTGCTTTAGAAGAATGGGTTTGAACGAGCCTAGTTTAATATCAATTAGGCTGAAAAAACTGTCAGATCACAAGTTTAGCTACTTTTAAAGTTCCAATCAGGCTGAGTGAGCGTACAGCTCCTGGACACAGCACCTGAGGAGCATGGGCAAGGTCCCAAGTCTAAGCCTTGGCACTCCAGGGGAAAGGCTTAAGTTATTGCTCATTTCTCGAAACACTGTTTCTGACTGATTAGTCAATTACTGCTAACGCATACATGGTACAAGAGGATCTGGCTTGTAAAATATGCCCCCATGTTTTCACTGCTACTCAGCAACTTGAAATCAAGGATTCTTTACACTGGGCACAGTAAGAAAAATCCAGATTTTCGTTATTAGATCTGAACAAATTCAATGTGTCTGTCTTCTAAGTCATCCAGAAAAACGAAGTCTCTGGAGTAAGCCAAGGCAAAGCTCTCCAGGAACCACCACCGACCACAGACAAAGACGTCAGTGGTACTTCATTCCAGGAACTGGAGATTTAAAAAGTTCATGTCTATACAGAAATGACAATCTTCACAAGCCAGGTGTGGTGCTGCATGTCTGTAAACTCAGCACTGAGGAGGCAGAGCGGAGGCCAGCCTCAGCTACATCATGATTTCAAGGCTAGCCTGGACTAACTAGGAGCCTGTCTCAAGAAAGAGAGAGACAGAGAGGAAGGAAGGAAGGAAGGAAGGAAGGAAGGAAGGAAGGAAGGAAGGAAGGAAGGAAGGAAGGAAGGAAGGAAGGAAGGAAGGAAGAAAAAGAAAGAAAAGAGAGAGAGAGAAAGAAAAACAGGAGGGGAGGGGAGAGACAGACAGACAGACATAGAGGAAAGGAAAGAAGGAGGGAGGGAGGGAGGGAAACTCAAACACACATTGAAATTGTTCTTATAGCTTGTTCCTAGAAATAAAAAATCTCAACATTAGAAACGAATGTGTCCTCAGAGCTGGTCTGGATCTAGAGTAAATTCATCTCAGAAGGGAGGGCTCTGAATAAGGAAGAACTGCTAGGCAGTAAACAAATACAAGATCATTTAAAAGAAAGACGAAGAAATTCTACCTTATTTGTCGTATAGCTATCCCAAATAATTAATTTTCCATCTTGGGACGCACTGACTAGTAGCCTAGAGGAGAAACACAAGAACAATTTGACACTGAGAGGAAAAATGGTTAATTAGTTATGCATTTTATCTTTGAAGGATACTTCAGAATAGTTTTTCTAATAAAACCTGTATACTAAAATAACTCTTTTTCCAACTTTTAAAAACATTGTTATATGCCAAACACTTTAAACAGAAATCAAAATATTTAGCCACTGACTGAAAGTGTCTCGGTCTATGATTCAGTTTTTCCCTTGTGACATTTTAGTTCTGATGAAGGTTTCCGTGGATATTAGCGGAGTGGCTGAGCATTGACTGATGTGAGTTCAGTGACTTAACAATAGATCCAGGCCCAATATCCATACTCCACCCAGCTGAGGCTGTCACCCCAGAGCCTGTGAGTGAAGGGTGTGCTGTGGGCACTGTGCAGGCCACAGCAGCGTTGGGGGCATCTGCCATCTTGTGAGGTAAGCCACTTGCATATGTTTGTAATAATCCAAGTAAGTAAAGATGTCAAAAATATGATATAAAAAAGTACCAGGGAGATAAAGAGAATACATTATGGCTTGTTGCATTAATAAAAGGACAATGTGTGGGCTGGGTAGTGACAGCACATGTCTTTAATCCCAGAGAAAAGTGAGGGCACAGGAGGATTGCCGTGAGTTCAAGGCCAGCCTGGTCTACAGAGCTAGTTCTAGGGCAGCCAGGGCTACACAGAGACCCTGTCTCAAAAAACAAAAACCAACAACAGAAAACGACAATGTGTGGGAAATGGACTTCGAAGTTTTTGCACTTTTAACTATGTATGTGTGTGACTGCACACACTCGAGTGCAGGGGCCATGGAGGCCTGGAGTGTCAGATCCCCTGGAGTTGGAGTTACAGGTGGTTGGATGTGGGTGCTGGGAATCGAACTGGGTCCTCCAGAAGAGGAGTACATATTCTTAACCACTAGGCTGTCTCTCCAGCCCCAGAAACTGGAATTTCCAAGAACTAAAGATGAAATGTGTCCTAGGAGGAGGGTAACGAAGAGGGAGCAGAGACAGGAAAATTCTGGGCAGTCCCGGGACCTGTGGGCTTCCTCCAGTCATGGAGCTGAGAACACAGACAGACAGGGCTTAGGCTGCAGAGAGCTCTGCTCCACCAACTTATGAATTCTTGACTATGTGGTCACTGGATTCTTTCTGTTCTGTTCTGGAATTTTGCTTTGTCACCCCGTATAAAATGTAAAAGATACAAAAACAGGTACGATTACAAAAAGCACTCAGTTTTCTTCTCTGTGAGCAAAGGTTTCCAATCTAACTGTGTTTATAGAGGGGGAGGTTCAAAGGTGGGCTGAGGGGGGACCAAGGAACACTTGGAAATCAACTGCATCCATTGTGCTGACAGAAGTAATAACCCAGGAATTAATAAGCAGAATACATGGTGTGTGTGTGTGGGGGGGGGGGGTCCTAGGTGTTATTTTATTTTTGAGAAAATTTTTAAGAAATAATCACTAACATTGCTTCAGTAATGAGATTTTGGGTTGAAAGTCTACAGTATCAAGGCAAATTTGTTTTTAATTGTTAAATCATATTGATTTACGTGTGTGCGTGTGTGTGTGTGTGTGTGTGTGTGTGTGTGTGTGTGTGTGTGTGTGTGTTAGGCAGGAGCCAGCCCTTTCCTTCTACCATGTAGGTTCTGGGGAGCAAATTCAGGTCATCAGGTGGCCAGAGCTTTTCACCCACTGGCCCGGGGCAAAATATTTTTATTTGAAATAAAAAAAAAAAAGAAAAATCTGCCTTAGCTTTACGTAAGTTGTCAAAAATATAATTTTCTCTCTTCCCTTCTAAGAGGCACATACACTATGTTAGTGTATTCAACGCCCTCACCACTTTTAGACTAAGATTATATTAAACTTGGAAACAGCAACAAAATGATTAACAAACATGAATGATCACAGAATAACAATGTGTGTGTGTGTGTGTTAGGCTGGGGAAGTAAAAGATTATTCCATTGCTGGGCCTGGTAGTGCTGACCTTTAATCCCAGCACTCGGGAGGCAGAGTCAGGCGGATCTCTGTGAGTTTAAGGCCAGCCTGGTCTAAAGAGTGAGTTTCAGGACAGCCAGGGCTACAGAGAAACCCTGCTTAGGGGTCGGGGAGTGGGGATGCATTGAATCAAAATACTTCTTTTGTATTATTCAATCTTTTGTGGAGTTAGTTGATTAAGTATAGTAACATCCACAATTATCTGTAGACGTACTTAAGTATTTGCTTATTAACTGCTATTTTAATATTAATAAACAATAAGACCGTGTTTTGGCTAGGAATGGTGTGTAAACCTTGCCAGATCTAAAGGAAACTCCATTTCCCCAAATTCCAAACGGCAGAAGGGACAAATGGCTATCTGTGGTGTCTATTCACATATCAAAGCACATGCGGGCCTCCAGCCTCCCTCAGTATCACAAGTACATGTTACATATTTCAGAGTCCATGCTGGCCCTTCTCATCTCCTCCCCCACCCTAAACGCCCTCCACCTCACAGGCTTCCCTCCCCCCAGCTACTCACTCTCCTTATATCCCTATGCTCTGCCTTCTCTGCCCCCTCCCCCAGCTCTCCTCTCTGCTCCTGCTACCATAGCCAGGTCCACTTTTCCGGCCATGCTCAGTCTACTTCCTTCTCTCTCTGCTCTGGACTCTTTCAGATGCCTCTGATGTTCCCCTTAACTGTCCCGTGGAACAGTCACGTCGTCAGTGTATACACACCTGTAATTGTAGCGCTCAGCAGCCTGAGTCAGGAGGATATTGATTTTGAGGCTAGATGGAGCTACTTAGCAATAACCTATCTCAAAAGAAACAACCCCTTCCAAAACAAAATAATTTTTACATATTAAAAACACATTATAACACTCCTCTCTAAAGACAATGCTATTACAAAGGTTTTACTAATCTGCTTAGAAGACAATAACACAAAGTAGACTTTAGTCAAAGGAATGCTCCTCAAAAAACACCCCAAAGGTAACTAGTTTGTTGACCAGGCCGGTTAGGGATGTTAAGATGCTAGGGTGTAAATGTCATTCTCCAGGACTGAGCAGCTAGCAGGCTCCATTCCCATAACAAAGGAGACAACTCTGATTTACAACCAGCCATTAGGCCATCCTCATATCAAAGAACATTCCTCTAACAGGCTGCAGGGAACAGAGGGTCACAATCAATGTTAAGTCCTGGCCTGCCATAAAGCCCCCAGTTCTAAGACAGCACAATTGTGCCGAGTGGGCAAAATGACCCTGGATAACAACTGGATATACACTGGTACCAGAACCACACAGAGAAACCCTGTATTGAGAAAACAACAACAAAAAGTATACACTGGTGTACTTAAAATAGTTCTGGCAATATGTCGAATCTTTGCTGTGTAAACTTCTCAGCGGCCTAAATGGCCAGACTTGAGGTCTCCTGTCTGTTTAAACTGTTCAAAGTATAACCTGGGCCAGGACCTGCAAGAGAGATGAGGATGACAGTGTACGTGGAATGCACAGGCCTCAGGTGCATATAAGTTAGTGAAATCTTCTATCCAAGGCCAGCTCCACTTTGGGCATTCTCCAGAGCCAGACGTGAGCTATCTTAAAGAACATTTCTCTTTAATAATCTAAATGTGCAGAGTGATTTTTCACTCGGAAGGCATATTAATTCTAGAACAAAGAAAGAAATCCTCCTCTAGTTTCCACAGGTCACAAGACAAAGATCTTTTTGAAAAGCAAACTGATTTTTCATATTAGAAACTTTAAAAGTATTTATTAACATTATGACGACTCTGTATGTTTATGCCTACTTGTGGGCCCACATGTGGCGATCCCAGGGCAGCTTGCCAGGCAAGCACCTCTATCCAAGAAGCCCTCTCGAATGCCCTAAAAACTGTCAACTTCAGCAATCAGGAGCCTCTGGGTTTGAGTGCCACACTGGAACAAACAGCTCTAAACCTCTGAAGTGTCAATGAGCAGTCAGTCATTCCGAGTGCAAGGAACATATTCACAATCGATGCCTTTTCTACCACACTGCACAAATAAGGGTTGTTCTGAATGATTTTTTTTTTTTTTTTTTTTTGGTTTTTCGAGACAGGGATTCTCTGTGTAGCTTTGCGCCTTTCCTGGAACTCACTTGGTAGCCCAGGCCAGCCTCGCACTCACAGAGATCCACTTGCCTCTGCCTCTTGAGTGCTGGGATTAAAGGTGTGTACCACCACCACTGCCTGGCGCAAACAATGATTCTTAACGAAAAGACTTCTGCAGGCAGTTTAGAAATGACAGCCACTGACCTGGAATCATAGCCCCAATGCATGGCGTAGATCTTGGCGAGGTGGCCGCGGAGCGTGCGCCTGGTTCGCATTTGTATTCGGCCCACGGAGTCCATATTAGACGTGATCTTTAGAAAGTGACAATAGCATTGCTCTTTACCTTCGATGTAATAAAAAGCAGAAACCAGTTCACAGTACCTGAAGGTGATTTAGTACAGAGCACAACAGAACCGCCGTGAGTTCAGTCCACAGAACCATGACTGACACAGGTCATCCCGTGTGCCGTTGTGTGTGAGGAGCTCAAGTACAAACACAGACTTCCAAACTAACGAAGCTCCAGCCACAGTGGGAAGGAAGGAAGGGTGGCCGGGCAAGCTGCCCTCCCTGCAAGGATAGGTTCTGAACTGCAGGAAGAGCTGTCTGGAACACATGCCAGCCTACAAACAGGGTAAAGGTAATGTATGCGCACGGTGTGTGAGGGGGAGAGAAAGAGAGAGACACATGTGGAGGAGGTCAGAGGACAACTCTGTGGAGCTTTCTCTCTCCTTCCACCTCACTCAAACTCTGGAGACTGAACTGAGGTCTTCAGGCTGGCAGGGCAGTTGCCTGGCCTGAAGCCATCTTGCCAGTCCCTATCCAACAGTTTATAAAGAACCAGAAGAGAAGTGGCTTGGGTCTCTCAACACAAAGCAATGATAAACACCGGAAACTCTTAGTACCCTGACTTGACACACTGCATATGTACCCAGCTGTCACAGTGCGCCCAAAATATGGATGTCTTAATAGGAAAAAAATACACCAGCTATAAAGGGAAACTAGAAAGAAATGGACAAAGAATTGTCTATAAGAAAGCCATGAGCTGGAGAGACGGCCCAGTGGTTAAGATCACTGACTGCTTGCCCAGAGGACCCAGGTTCAATTCCCAGCACCCATATGGCAGCTCCCAGCCACCTGTAATTCAGTTCTAGGGAATCTGACTCTTTCCTCTGGCCTCTGAGGGCACCACACACATGCACATACACACGAACACACGCACACATGCACACTGCACAGAAAAAGAGCTTAACCAGCATATACCAAAAAGACTGAGAAAGTGCTTAAGACTAGAATGAACTGGATGATTCTGCATGTCTCCACAGCACGTACTGTCCTGCAGACTTCTATTTCGGCACCTTCAGGAACAACAGTCTCGATGTCACCCAAATGGTGACACCTCATGTGAGCTGCTAACATGACCTGGGGACACTTTACCTGAACCAGCGTGGCATCGTTGCAGGCCTTCCTGGCATCCTAGAGCAAAGAAAGATGATGACATGTTAAGGAGGGGGGGGACCTCTAGATGGAACAGGCTTGTGTTTATTGAAAATAAAGCTTTACTGCATCACATCATCTTATTCTTTTTGTTTTGTTTTGTTTTGTTTTTCCGAGACAGGGTTTCTCTGTATAGCTTTGTGCCTTTCCTGGAACTTACTCTGTAGCCCAGGCTGGCCTCGAACTCACAGAGATACGCCTGCCTCTGCCTCCCAAGTGCTGGGATTAAAGGTGTACACCACCACCGCCCGGCTACATCATCTTAAACTTTGCTGAAATAAACTTTACCTAATATAAAAGGGGCCATTTTAAGGTACACAATTTAGAGGGTTTTTTTAAGTACATTCAGAATTGAACCACACCATGATCCAATTTAAGACATGCCTACCATGTCTATCTGTTCCCAAAGAAACTCCATCCACCTGGTCCCCCTTTTCTGCATGCCTCAGCTTCTCCTTCCCTCCACTCATCCTTTCTGTGTGCACTTGCCAACCAGACCTCTCTTGTAAATCAAGTCACACAGTACACAGCTTCTTCTTCCACTCGGCTTGTTTCCAAGGCTCAGCCACGACACTGTATCGAGCAGCGTGCCTCCATTTTAAGGGTGACGGTTCTAATGGGTGGCTTTTCAGCACTCTATCCGGTGGTTGAGAGTTTTCCACTTTTCAGTATTACAAAGCATAATGCTGTGTTTTCCATCTCTTTGGGAATTCTACCTGCTGTTGTTCGGAGCTGCTGCACCAGCGATGTCCAGGGCTCCAGTTCCTTAGCATCTTCAGGTCACTTCCAACTCTTACGATGGTCTGTGCTTTGAGTTACAGCCATCTTACTTGTGAAGTATCTCACTGTGGTTTGGATTTTATCGAGAGTCTTTCCATGCTGTGTGTGCGTGTGTGTGTGTGTGTGTGTGTGTGTGTGTGTGTGTGCCTATGAGTATTAATCTGTGCACGTACATCGTTGGTATACATCTGTGTTTGTGTTTGTGAGTGTGATGTGTGTGTGCCTGTGTATCTGTCTTTCCATGTCTTTGAAAGGATCTCTATTTAAAGCTTTTTGCCAGCTTTTAGGTCAGGTTGTCTTTTTATTGTCCAGATATAGTACTTCTTTACATATTCTACCCACTTGACCCTTACAAGATGTACAATTTTCAAACTTGACAGCATTTTTAAAATCTATTTTACTTATGCATATGTGTGTATGAGTTACCTGGAGAGGCCAGGAGAGAGAGTCAAATCCTTGGAACTGGATATAGGTGAGTTGTGAGTCTCCTGATGGGAGCTCTGGGAACTGGACTTGGGTCCTCTGTAAGAGCAGCAAGTGCTCTTAACCACTGAGCCATTTTTCTGGCCCCTTAATAGGGTTTTTTGATATGTAAGTTTTTAATTTGATGAGATACAATTTTCTGGGTTTTTTTCTTTTGTTGTTGTTCTTTTGATGACATATTTAACTATGGGGAGTGGATGAGGTCCTGAGCGAATGTGTACTGTTGACATGAACATGACCGTATCAAAGCCCAGTGCCTCAGACCCCTGGGAGTGGCAAAGCCTTCCAGGTCAGGTTCAGAGGCTGGTATGGCCTTTCCTCCGCTCTGCATGTGGGTGTTGACAAATGGCTGACCTTTACCTAAAACCAGTGTGTGCAAAACTATGGCCCACAGCTTCCCCTTCCCAGTGATTACATCCTGAGATGGCTCCCTGAAAGAGATCTCTGTTAGTTAACCACCTTCCCCCGGCTGGTGCCGTATACAGTGAGTCTCTGACTTTCCAGGCGGCTGGTGGTACGCTTCCAGCAGGGCACATGGCCCACGGGCGCCACCACGCCCGGCTTAAATTTTATTTGTTTTATGTAAGTGTTCTGTCTGAATGTGTCTGTATACCATGTACATGCCTGGTGCCTTCAGAGGAAAAGAGGGCACTGATCCCCTAGAACTGGAGTTACAGATAACCATAGGCTACCATGTGGTTGCTGGAAACTGAACCTAGGTCTTCCGGAAGAGCACCCAGTGCTCCTACCTTCTGAGCCCTCTCTCCAGCCTCAGAGCTAAACCTGCACAAACATTCTGCATTCAAGCAACTGTGACTGTGCCATTAATAAACACTTTAGGTGTTTAGGTCCAGTGTGCAGAGACACATCTTGGGATTTTTTTGCTTTTGGTGCTGGGATGGAACCCAGAGCTTTACACTAAATACTTTATACCAAACACTGGCTCAGCTACTAACCTACACCTTTTCTGTTAAAGGCGGCACCATCTCAGTCCCTGGGGAGCACTTTCTGTTGGCTGCTCTTCATCCCCCTCCTCCACCCCATTTTCTCACCTCCTTCTTTCTCATAACATCTCTCTACAGACTGTATTCTTGACTTTTACACCGTCTCAAACAGCGTATCATGTGATACCTTCCTGATGCTGCAACCCTTTAATACAGCTCCTCACGTTGTGCTGACCCCCCAACCATAAGATTATTTTTGTTGCTACTTTATAACTGTAATTTTGCTACTGGTATGAATCGTAATGTAAATATCTGTGTTTCTGATGGTCTTGGGCAACCCCTGTGAAAGGGCCGTTTGACCGCTTCAGGGGTCACAACCTACATGCTGAGCAGCACTGGTCTTGAGCTAGCCAATCATCTACACTGGCAAGGGCCCCCAACTACATTCCAGGTCATCAGGACTTCTCCCTTTGTTCCTCACAGACATCTGTAAATGGTTTTAGCTTGTACTTTCCTCTGTGAAAAGAGGCAGGCAGCTGCTGGGCTACTTACAACATGCTCCTTCCTCCACCAACTGCAAAGAGGCCATGGCATCTTTTCACTTCGAATTTTCCTTCTTGGATACTCCCTGGTTCCCGAAAGTTAGTGTCTGCTCCACTGCTGCCCCTTGGGCACTTACTTCTTGTGACTGTTTACAGGCCCTTCCCTGGAGCTTGCCCACAGCACTTGGCAACTCTTCTCCACCAGAAGGATCCCAAAGTCTAAGTATCTTTTGTTTGTTTTTGAGGTAGAGCAAGCTGGCCTTGAACCCCAGACTCTCCTGCCTAAGCCTGAGTCATGCACTGTGACCACAGCCTGTGCCATGACCAGCATTCTAAGTGGCTTTCAGTTGATCTGTTCCTTCTTGGCTGGGCATTTCAGTTACTTCCCAGACTGAAAGGCATCACATTTGTCTTTTAAGATTACTGTCTTGCAACAAAATACTGTTGAGATAATATTTCCTCGAGTTATAGGGTAACATCTGTGCCGTGTATCCTACCAAAAAACTATGATTCTCAGTGTGCGAAGGAGAGAATTTTTAAATGCTTTCCATTGGCATATAATAACTATGGGTTTCATTACATTCTCATCTGTGCGGACATTGTTTTTGATCATACTACCCCCATTAGCCTTGTTCTCTCACACTGACCCCTTCCTAGATGAGAACTCATCGTTACACTTGTCTCTCAGCTAGATTAGACATTCTACTTTTCATTAATTTAAAAATGTTACTGTGTGTGTGGGCACGGTCGCCGCAGCACATATGTGGAGGTCAGAGGACAGTTGTCAGGAGTCTGTCCTTTCCTGCCACCGTGTAGGTCCCAGGGATAGAACTCAGGTCATCAGGCTTGGCAGCAAGCACCTTCACCCACAGAGCCGTCTCACCGGCCCTAGGCATGCTACTCACTTTTCAGAGTCAGCCAGCATGGGCAGTGGTATGGAATGACTTGGGGGAGAGTTCTCTAGAAGCATGCTCAAAACAACTTAACCATGTCCATATTGTTTCCTTGAGACAGGGTCTTGCCTGGCCCAAGCTGGCTTCTGAGCTTGCTAAATAACAAAGGATGAGGTTACAGGTATATGACATCACAACTAGCTCAGGCCAACCCCTTCCAGCCTCATGAATGATTTAATATGTGCGGACCAATAAGCTAATGAATAGTGTTTACAGACTGCTGAAACTAAGCTAAGCAGTGATGATTTCAAGTGGAACGCGTCCTACCTGGATCTGATTCCGCAGCTGCTCAGCCTCCTGCCTCAACTGTTCCAGTTCACTCATCCTTTGTGACTGTTGTCCTCAGGAGTCTCACGTGAAGAACTAAGAGGGGGGTGAGTGCCAATTAATTTGTATTTTAATCTACATGTAAAGCGCGGATATATAACTTTTTAGTCCTTCCAAATGTAAATGAAACAACCAACATTAATGGAACTTAAAATTGCTTAATAAACAAACAGAGATCATCCACAAAGGGGCTGTATGCAGGAGGAGGACATGGACGTTGTCAATACCAACATGGAGTCATTTGTGCCAAACCTTCCATGAAGGAGGTGCTTGTCCACACACATGCATACCTATGAAGGAATATTCAGAAATAAACTCTCTATGAAGGAGAGCCTAGATACATACATGCCCACAAAGGAATATTCAGAATTTCTGCAGTATCCCACATAAGCGATTCCCGTGGAGCCAGCTCCCCCAAGAGCCCACACCAGCTCCAGACACAGCGAGTGAGCCACTGCCTTGGTTTCCAGCTTAGGTAAACAGTCGTCCTTTCCTTCCTCCTTTCTCCTCTATTCTAATCCCAGCATCCTCAGGTGCATCCATGGTACTCCAGATACCTACCCCTTTGCTGTTCTAGAAAACCCGTGTTATGGAGAGTGCTGGGTCCAAAAGAAACCCAGGACAAATGTCTACTGTGGTGCCTGTCAGCATGCCAAAGCACTGCCGGCCTCCAGGCTCACTGAGACCCAGCGGCTCGTCTCACCCACTCCTACCCAAACGTCACCAGTCACGGGCTTCCCTTCCGCCAGCTTCTCACTCCGATATAACCTTGCCATCTGACGTGTGCTGCCCTGGTCCTTCGGCCCTCTCCCTTTTCCTTTCTCTCTGCCTCCTCTCTCACTCCCTCACCCCTCTCTCTCATGGCCCAGCTCAGCCTGCGGGCCATGTGCAGTGTACCACTCCTCTCCCTGCCCTGGACTCTTCCAGACGCCTCTGGCTGTACTCTCCTCATATCTACAATAAAAACCTTCTTCTCAACCATACCTTGGAGCAGTCACGTCCCCACTTTATACATCTGGTGCTGCAAAAACCCACTATATACAGAGTTGGTCTTTCTATCACCTATTTAATTTTTAGTTTAATTTAATTTTTTATTTTTTGGTTTTTTCGAGACAGGGTTTCTCTGTGTAGTTTTGGTGCCTGTCCTGGATCTTGTTCTGTAGACCAGGCTGGCCTCGAACTCACAGAGATCCTCCTGGCTCTGCCTCCTGAGTGCTGGGATTAAAGGTGTGTGCCACCACCCAGCTCTATCACTTATTTTAGGCCAACAATGATTGAAAGATGAGGGAGAGATCTTGAGATGGGGTATTTAAGACCAAACCATAGGAACTGATGATAGACAGGTCTAGCGAGAGGCTGGCTTGTGACTTCATTCTGTCTTTTGTTTGTCTTTGAGACAGGGTCTCACTATGTAGATCAGGTTGGCCTCGAACTCTGAGATCCACCTGACTTTGCCTGGTCCCAAGTTCTGAGATTAAGGCACACACCATGGCCAGCCTGAAGCTGGTTTGAACGGATCCTTCTGCTTTCACCCTCCACGTGCCAGAATAACAGGTATGATGGTTTGGATGAAAATGGCCTCAAAGGCTCATATATCCAAATGCTTGGTCCCCAGTTGGTGGACCTGTTTAGGAAGGACTAGGAGGTGTGGCCTAGTTGGAGTAGGTGTAGCTTTGTTGGAGGAAGTGTGTCACTAGTGGTGGACTTTGAGGTTTCAAAAGCCCATGCCAGGCTCAGTCTCTCTTCTCTGCCTCCAATTAATGGATCAGAATGTGAGCTCTTGGTTACTGCTCCAGCACCATGCCTGCCTGCCTGCTGCCCTACTTCCTACCAGGATGGTCATAGACTCATCCTCTGAAACAAGCAAGTCCTCAAATAAAGGCTTTCTTTTGTAAGTTGCCTTGGTCATGGTGTCTCTTCACAGCAGTAGAAAACTAACTAAGACAAGAGGTGTGGGCCACCACACCCAACTGGGATAGCTTTACATGCAACTCAAACTTAGTATTTCAAAGCTGATCTCCACACACCCCAATTCTCCTGTATTTCAGACAATGGTAATTCTATTGCTGTAACTATTTGAGTTCAGAAACAAAAACCTGGGAATCATTCATTTCCATTTCCCTCAGACCTTCCCATCTATTCCATTAGCGATCCTGTCATCTGTCCCATGAGCTGATGGAGTCTGCCTGCCTCTGGTGCTATTAATTTGGTCAAGCCACCATCCTCTCACCTGACCTCTTCTCTTCTGCCCTTGACTTTTCCCCACTCATGTCGACAGCAGGCTCTCAAAGCTGAATTCTCTCTCTGTGTATGCATGTGTTCATACATACATGTGAGCACACACACACAAGAGCTCACGTGAAAACCACAGGACAACCTGGGTGTCTTAGGGTTACTACTGCAGTGATAAAACACCATGACCAAAGCAATTTGCTGAGAGGGAGGGTTAATTTGGCTTACACTTCCACATCGCTTTTCATCATTGAAGGAAGTCAAACGGCAGAAACCTGGAGGCAGGAGCTGATGCAGAGGCCAAGGAGGGGTGTTGTTTACTGGCTTGTCCCTCATGGCTTACTCAGCCTGCTTTCTTATAGAACCCAAGACCACCAGCCCAGGGATGGCTCCACCCACAATGGGCTGGACCCTCCCCCATTGATCACTGATCAAGAAAATGCCCTACAGGCTTGCCTACAGCCTGATCTTATGGAGGTGCTTTCTCAATTAAGATTCCCTCCTCTCAGATAACTTTAGCTTGTGTCAAATTGACATAAAACTATGCAGCACACTGCAGTATCATTTCCTAGGCCCTGTCCGCCTTCTTTTGAGATAGAGTCTCTCCTACTAGCCTGGAGCTCACGAAGCAGGCTAGACTGGCAGGCCTATCAGTACCAGAGATCTGCATGCCTCTGCCTCCCCATTGCTGGATGATAATCTTTTTGTACACTGTGAAGATGAGTCTCTGCTGAACGACCAACAGCTAGGCAGAAGAGGATAGGCAGGACTTTTGGGAAGGGACAGAACTCTGAGAAGAAGAGAGGTGGGATTTGCTAGCCAGACAGAGGAACTGGGATGTGCTACTGCACTGAGGAGAGGCAACGAGACACATGGCAGAATGTAGATTAGTACAATCAGGTTAGTTTAAGTTTTAAGAGCTATTTGGGAACAAGACTAAGCTCAGGCCAAGCTTTCATAATTAATAAGTCTCTGTGTCATTATTTGGGAGCTGGTGGTCCAAAAAGTTCAATTACATTCCAGCATTGGGATTACAAGTTCACTACCAAGCTCGGTTGTTTTTTTTTTTTTTTTTTTGTCTTTTTTTTTTTTTTTTTTTTTTTTTTAATGTGGAAATGTGGATTCTGGAGATGAACTCAGGTCTCCATGCTTGCAAGGCAAGCAGTTTACCAGTGGGATCTTCTCCCCAGCCCCTAATGCCGAGCGCTTGACCTTGACCTGCAGAGGCCAGGCAGCAGCGGTCAGTCTTTCTCTCTCATATTCACACACTCCCTACACGCCCCGACCCCTCTCCTTCCCCCAGCTCTTGCTGCTCCCTGAGGACACTCAGGGAGCTCTAGCCTTGGTGCTTTCCGACTTCGGTTTTCTCTCTCTGGAATGCTCCTGCCCCTGATATTTTCAGTGCAGGTTCCCCTGGCCTGCTCAGCTGTCACCCCTGCACACACCCGCACATACCACTTTCACTATCAAGACCTTGCCTTATTTCCAACACTACTTAGTATGTATTTGCTTATTTGTGGTCTGATTCCGCCCAACAAAATGTACTGACTCGAGGCAGGGCCTTTCTTCACTTCATTCTTTACCATAGACTCAGCTCCTAAGACACTTTGGTCTCCAGTAAATAAACTAATTTGAAATAGCTTAAGAAATAAAGAAAATTTACTCTTAAGAGTTAGAGAAGCCACAGTGGCAAAAGGCAAGAATTATTACTATGTCAGGAGAAGAGCTGTACCTTACAACACCCCACGCCCTATCTACGTCTTACGGTGCTTGTTTATCATATTTTTTAATCTTCTCTACTTCCTATATATTAGGAATGAGATCTGGAGGCTACAGTATATTCAGGTTCAATATCCATATTTGGCAAGAATCCTTGTTGGTGATGCTGAGTAAGTCAGAATGATTTACTACATTCACGAAGAGGAGCCAGATGTTAGCAATGTAATCTATCAAATAAGTCCCCACTTTCAACCAACAACTAATCTTTTCTATTTACTAACTGGATCCTACTATCAGTGGCTAACCATGCCCAAGTCTCTCCCCTGGGGAGAGAGAGAGAGGAGAGGGAGAGAGGGGGAAGGAGGGAGGGGGGAAGGAGGGGGAGAGGGGGAGAGAAAGAGGAAGGGAGAGGGAAGGAGGGAAAGGGAGAGAGGGAGAAAGAGGAAGAGGGAGGGAGGGGAAAAAGAGTGAGAGAGCACAAAAGTCCATACAAGTGCTACAGCCTTCACTCAAGTGATCCCAGGCACATCTTGAACTCTCCTGACCTTGGCATTGTTTACATGAAGCTGATTTTGCAGGCATGCAGAATCCAAGAATTATGGCTGCCACAGGACGGTAAGGCAAAGCCTGGTGGCCATGCAGCATGCTGTGGGTCAGTCCCATCGTGTAGCCCCTAGCAGGGTGATGTGTGATGGAGATGAGGGAGTGAGGCTGATGCTGCCATGGAGACACAGGAAGGTAAAGATCTGGGCAATGTGCTACAGACAGCAGGCAAAGCCAGCATGGTGTGGGAGCCACATGGGCTGCCACCAGCACAGCTGCAGAAAGCCCTCCGCAGCCACGGTGGGAGCAAACCAGGGGAGCACTGAGATGACATACAGGGAGCACTGAGATTTCATGTCAGCCCCACTGGGATTTGGTCTTGCTCTGGGCTGATGCTCCTTACTATCCTCCTCCTCCTCTTCCCCCTCCTCCTCCAACCCTTCTTCCTCCCTTTTGGAATAAGAATGTCCACCCTGTACCTCACCCACAGGCTGAGTTTGCTTGGGTCTTGGACTGGAACAGTTAAGACTTTGGGGGATGTT